GGGGGGGGGCGCTCACCCCCCCTAGACTTTTGAAAACAAAATTAAATAGTTTCTATACTTTTAAAAAAATCAAATAAACCCTTTTTTAAAAAATAAAATTGTGTTATAACTTTTATTCTTTCATAAATCTTATGATGAATGACTAACAACTTGACAAATAAAATAAATTTAATAAAATATTTTTATTTATTTGACATATTTGTCATTACAATATATACATAATTAATAATTATTTGTATTAAATAACAAAATAAAATTGATTTAAAATTGATATTATCAATTCTTTAAAATATTTAATTTTGCTATATGAATAATATTGAGTAATATTTTATTATAAAAGTTGTGTTTCAAAACGAAATTTAAATACACAAATTTTAACAAAATTTTAACTTTTATATATTTAAATCTTAATTTAATTTGTAAATTACAAATTAAAAATTTTACTTTTAACATATACATTTCTAATAGCACTTCGCCCTCCCTGAGATTATTTTCTGGCTCCGTCCTGCGCATGCGTGATATGATTTGCAAAAGCAGTAAGACCATGTTGACTGATTTTTGATCATTGAGATCAAATCTTAAACATGGACTAGTTACATAATACTATCCCTATCATTAAAGAAGCCCTCAGAAGGTTAAAATAAAAATAAATAAATAAATAACTCTTTAATCTCAATATAGACATTATGCCATTAGCAGAATAGCCTGTTCGATGAAGTTTTTAGGAGTTTTAGTTTTTTAATACTATTTACGTTTCATAAATTTAAATTTTTTAAAAAAAAACTTATATTTTTAAATTTTTTTTAACCTTAAAAAGAGTTTGAACAATAAAAACTCAAAAGTTTCAAATTCGAACTTTTCATAAACTCATTTTTTATTTATTTTTTACTCATTTTTTTTCATTTCTAAAAGTAATTTTTAAATTTTTTATCTAATAAAAATTTAAACTTATGACTTATAATAATATTCAAAAAGTAAAAACTCTCGTAAGTCAAACCAAACATGCTCTAAAAGAGATGTTTAGATCTTGACCCTCAATCAGTGTTATTTATGGCCAGGGCCCCTGGTTGCAGGATCAGGATTAAAATTTTTCATAGGGTAGTGATGCCAAAAAAAAAAAAAAGTGGATTAGCGCGTTTGACTTTGAATAAAAAGGACGTGGGTTTTATTACCAAAAAAAAAAAGGACGTGGGTTTGACTCCAACCGTGGTCGGGATTTTACGTTTTACCTTCGAACAGATTGGACCTAATTGCCTCAAACCTGGTCCAGAATATCTTAAAAGCCCGATTGTTCGCCCTGCTCCCTCTTATTCATCTCATTATGGGCTATGAGCCTATAACTTTATCGGACAGGAAAGCCCAAAATATGGTCTATATATATCTTTCAATAATCTTGCCACGGGGATTACGACCCTACGAGGCTAGGCTTATCGGACCTAAAAGGCATTAACTAATAACTAGACGAACGATGATATATTTAAACCAGCTTTTAGGACTAAATTTTTAGTATTAATTTATAAAAATTTTATTTTAAAATTTAAACTATATTAAACTTTACAACAAAAATTATTAAAATATAGAGAGGGTTTTAAATATTAAGGAACTTAATCTTTATTTAATAATTAATATAATTTAAATTATACAATATTTTTTTCTTTATTTATCATGACGTGAGTTCCATAATGAAATAATTTTTCTGAAAATTTTGTCTAAAAATTTGGTCGAAGAATTATTACTCTAACTTGACCCTTCCTATTCCCTCGTCTATGCAACACTTTTTCTGAGTTTTTCATTTGTCCAACTTTTGTACGACCAAAAAATAAGAGGGGGGAGGGGGTTTTAGATTTTTGAAAAACTTTCATAGCAAATTTAAAGTAACTAATTACAAGTCCATTTAATGTGAAAGAAATATCCTCGTGTTGGGAAATTAATTAATGAATTTAACACTGAGGTATTCATCCTAATTAATCTAAACTTTAGACCTTAATGGCATACTTCATCTTTGGAAAGTACATCTCCCTCTTCTTCTTGTGTTCTGTCTTCAAAGACTCCTGCATAAAACAGCATGAAGATTGTCAGTTTAACAATAATGCAATAAGATAAGAAAATGCAAGAATAAGATCACATCGGGAATTGGTGAAATAGTAATAATGCATGAAAACCATGAAATTTATATGCTTCTATCCAAGTAAAAGCGAAGAGGAAACATGGAGCAGTTTGAAATAAGCTGGAGATTTAATTAAGTGGTGAGAGTTTAAGGGAGGACTCGATGTTTTCTATCCAAAATCTTGAAATGATTTCCTGTTTGATCACTGAAGTTTTTTGTTCGTAGTTGATTCCCAAACGTTTTACTCCTTTCATTTAGGTTCTTTAATTCAGGTCTCTCCGTCAATATTTTTGAATCGTTAGAATTAGCGGAGTATGATAAAGAAAAAAAATATTGGCTTTAATTTTATTAGCCCAACGGGTTATGGACTGCTTTTTCCGCCACGTGTCTCCTCGTGACCATTTGGTCGGTTGATTACCCGCCCTACGAGACACGTGGCGGAAAAAGCAGTCCATAACCCAAAATCAATGTGAGATTTTATTTTTAATTTATTAAATAATAAATATTATAAAATTAAAATAGACTAACGTATTGATTGGCTATTGGAATAATTTGATGATGATCATAAGTACTTTTGGGGTTATCAATCAATTGATTTTCACCAGCTGGAAAAGGCCTTTTTTATTTTTATAAAAAGAGTAAGAGATCGAGAAGATGAAAAACAAATGATAAGAGATTTTACTGGTTGTTAGTGCTAGTTAAGGCTTAACGATAAGAGGCAGTAAATCCAAACTCTTGTTGTAATATTCTTGTGCTCTTCGAATCTTGATGTGGCTTCTCTATTTTTCTTCTAGCTTGGTAGCCATATTAAAATCTCACGTGATTTCTTGTGCTTATTACACGACAAGAGGCAGTAAATCCAAACTCTTGTTGCAATATTCTTGTGCTCTTCGAATCTTGATGTGGCTTAACAACCAATAAAATCTCTTATCATTTGTTTTTTATCTTCTCGATCTCTTTTTTATCTTTCCCTTGCATTTTCCTCTCACTTTCTCAGAAACCATATATGATCACCCGATCTTCTATAAATAGGGCACTCTTAGGACTTAACTAGCACTCCATCAAGACATCTTAAATGTTTCCATAACATACCTTGCATCTCTCAAGCCCACAGCGATCTTTCTTCCTATCATCACAGTTGAGCTTGAATTAGTCCATAATGGCGGAAGGAGATACCATTGTTGCCTCCATCATTCTCCGCCGCTCATATCTCAAAAAACTTGTCTTTCCAAAAGCTGTAATGCAGACACGTCGTCATCTTTTGCCTGGAACCTTATGGGGGCAAACTGGAAAAGCTTATGCGATATTGAAGGGTGGAAATCGCGAGACCCTCCCTGTCACGTTCTCGCTCGGACGAAAACGTGATCGCCTCGTTCTCCTGGGAAGTGGATGGAAAAAGGTTGTTAAGAAGCTTGGTTTGAAGGAAGGTGAAAAGGTGATCATTTCTTTGGACGATAGAGCAAGTTCCACTTATTCGATATGCTCGTCCAGCCTGCAAAGTGGACATAAGCCTCATGTCATCATGAAATTTGACCTGAATAAACCACCGGAGGAATCAGATGAAGAGGAGATGGACGTGCGCTCCAATAATTAACATCAGATTCTCGGTTTGTCACAGACAAATCCATATATAATATTTCATTTGGGCTAGCTGATCTGCCGAAAAGGGTCGTTGGCATGTTTCATCTTTCTTTGTTCAGCTTTTATGTGTCAAATTGGGCCACTGAAGTGACGTGTACCTTAGTGATCCAAAGATTTGGATTCGTATACTTTTATTTTTCTGTTTGCCAATGATCAGTAATATATAATAACTTCTAGCTGCCTGCCTTTCCACTTTGCCAAGAATTATGTACGTTATCTATATGGACGTTCTCTTCTTCTCCGTTTTCCATTTCTCATCTATTGCTAA